GCCTCTGCAACCCCTTGCAGTGCTCCTCCCCTCCTCCTCGTCCCCCTCCTCCCTGCTTTCGCCTTTTTTTCCTTTTTTCTCCTCTCCCTCCTTTCTGCTTTCTCCTCTTCGCTCCTTCCTCTCGCTCCACTTCTTGCTTTCTCTTCTTTCTTCTCCTGTCTTCTCCACCTTCTCCCGCTTCCTTCTCCCCTTCTTCCTTTCCTCCTCTCCCTTCTCCTTTTAACTCTTTGCCCCTCCTTCCCCTCCCCTTTCTCCTTCCTCCCCTTCCTCCTCTTCCTCCTCTTTCTCTTTAAATACGCGAGTGCTGCGTATTCATTGTAGAAGCTTAGAAACTGCCTACCACCCGGCAGGAGAAGGAGGGTTGTCCTGTCCTCCGGCTGCCCCTGCGACTGTCCTGTGTTTCTGGGATGTGCCCTGGTGGGGCGTCCTGACCTGAGGGAGCCTGTGGAGAGCAACCCCGAAGAGGGCGGGTGGAGGACCCCGGCGAGGTGAGGCTTGGAAGGAACGCGGAAGGTCTAGCAAGCGGCCTGGGCATGCAGAAGCCCTTCCCTGGTCTGATTTATTGCCTCTCATTTATATTTCATTTTTAATCGTTTTCTCAGTGGAAAGCGAACTAAATGTAAATGACAAAGGACTTGACCATATTCTTAAGGAAGAAGAAAGTTGCTTTTTCTCTTCTCTCCTCTCCCCTCTCCTCCCCTCTCTTCTTTTGTGCAGTGCTGGGATCAAATCCAGGGCCTGATGCATGGTAGGCAGAGTGCTCTGGGCTGTGCATCCTACTCAGCCCAGACTGTAGTATCTCTAAAAAGGGCACTGCACCTCATGTTGATTGACACCTGTAACAGGCAATGCCATGGTTCACATGCACTGGGATAACCTTGGGTCTAATGAAAGAAACAGATTTGTCTTTCTGCAGACCTTCTCAGAGCCTTTAGAATCTGCTGGTGAGCATTGTGAGGCTCTGAGGCAGGGGAGGGGTATCAGGCAGCACTTCCAGACTTTTCTATCCTTTGAACCTTTTCCAGGAAACATCTTGGAAAGTGAGGTCTCCTTGCATTTTTTTAAATTAATATTAGAAATTAAAACACAAATTGTAAAGTACAAATTTACAGGGAAAAACACTTAAATTGGCAAGGTACAGGCAACAAAGGAAAGGACTCCACCTTAGGACTCTGACACAGGGATTCCAACTAGGCCTTCCAAATGCAGGATGCCTGCTTTTAGGGATTAGCTGGTGGCTGGGGGCCCGCTGAGCAGTGTCTCAGTCCTGGTGTCACATGTTTCATTCCTGGTGCCTGTATGGCTGGGGGATGGTTTTGTGCCAGCATGGTCAAGGTTAGGACAGGCAGGTTTGGGATAATGGCTGTAGAGTTCTCAGGCAGAGTTAGATGTGTCTGGAAACTGCCTATCCTAGTGCCTTTAGTTTTGAAGTGGCTGTGATTATGTAAATCCGGGGCTGCTCAACCTTGTGCTGTCAATTCTGAGACAGACACTCCCTGAGTGATTAACACATATATGCAGAGCCAAGAAGAGATTTGACCCACATTTTACAACAACTAATAGGAATATTCATGCCAGCATCCTCATTACAAAATAAATGTCAAACTTTGTTTTGCTTTTAGTCACCTATTGGGCATCTGTAGGCCCAAATGAGGAGTTAAGGTTCATAATAAAAGTAGCTTTTAAGTCCCTGGCTATCCCAGGAGAAAACACAAATCAATTTCAGTGGGCAGTAGGTGAGGGCCCAGGAATCTACCTGATTCCCCTGACAGTGTTACTATTCTTGTACAGAAAGAACCGGCTGTGTTTACCTGCTCCAGAGAGAAGCCCTGTTTATTCCTTAGTTCGTTTTGAGACCTTGAGGTTTTTTCAGCCCCTCACCAGCAGTCTGAAGCAGGCTTGACCTCATCAGCACACTTAGAGGATGTTAGCTTCTCTTGAGCTGAAGTTTGAAGGCATAGGCTTGCATGGATCTTTATAGCCAATGACTAAGGGAGAAGGAAAATCACATGTTTGCTTTTCAATCCAAAGCCCCCTCCCAGCCACCTGTCTCCAGCCTACTGATGACCCACTTTCTGCCTAACATGATTTTGTCAGCAACCACCAAAGAAAATGATTTTTAATATAATATGCAACCTGCCTGTACAGAACTTGGAGGTCCTCGTGAATTCCTTGGCTGTCCTGTGTGGGTGTGGGAGGAGCTGGGCCAGAGCAGGACTGGAAGCCTCTCACATCTGCCACTCTGGTTCTACCACTTCACTCGAGCCTTGGGCAGTTGTCAGTGTCCCTGAACTGTAATCTCCTCAACCAGAAAATGAAAACACAAAAATATCTGCTTCTCAGAGCTGCTCTAAATTTCAAGCTTGGTGGCTGGTGTATAGAAGCTGAGGGAAAGAGCTGTCCTCTTTGCAATTGTAGTGGTTAAGGCTGTGAGATTCTCTCTTGGCCTTATCTTTCCAGACAGTGTAACTTGCTCCTCCCCGCATGGAGAGCAAATTCTCCCATTCCAGCCCCGTCCCTACCCCCAGCCCAGCCTGCACCCTTAGGTGGTGGGGAGAGGAGCAGAACTGGACAGATCCACATTGGAGTCTTGATTGTGTCTGCTGGGCAGCTGGTTCACCCTTCCTGAACCCTGTAAAATAAAAGGACTGAAATGGTCCTATTAAGTTGCTTTGTTAAAATGAGAGAATTCTTGAATGTCTAGCTCTAGCCTATGAACTTTACATGCTCAATTAATGGTCACTTAGTTTTTATTATTATTAGTGTGAATAATAATAATCATTTCCTCCTCTGCTGCCCCCTTGGGGAAAGAGCATATTCCCCCCTCCCAACTGTGTCAATTTTGGGTACTGCCCATCTCCCACCCCAGGGGAAGGAGCTCTGCTTTTCCTGTCCTTCCCAATGAGAAGTGCGGTTGTCAGGATTCCCTGGCCCTGGGAGAATGGGATGAAATGATTTAAACATTTGTGAGGAGTTCAGAGCAGTGCATGTCGTACATCACGCTTCTGATTTTATTTATAAAGTAAAAATGTTATCTTGGTTTGTTAGGGCTACCATAAGAAAGTACCAAAGGTCTATAGGAACAGAAGACAATCCTTGGCCTTTTGACTAGGATCAAGTACATATAGGAACAGAAAGTAAGGCAAGCCGGACTGGCTTATTCTTCATTTTTAAATTATTAATTCACAGGTAAAAATTGTATATATTTATGGTCTGCCACATACACACGTATAGTGAAATGCCTAAATCAGATTAACATACACATTATCTCACCACATTTTGTAATAAGAACACTTAAAATCTATTCTTAGCAATTTTAAAGTGTATATTGTTACTGTGAATACCGTGATGTACATCTCACGAATTTGTTCCTCCTGCCTAACTGAAATCTTGCATCCTTGACCAACATCTTCCTAAGCTCCCACACCCCACCCTGTCTCTGGTAACCATGATGTTACTCTGTTTTTGAGTCTTAATTTTTTTTTATTTCATATATAAGTGAGATCATGTATTGTATTTTTGTACCTGTCTTAATTTCACTTAATATAATGTCCATCTGTGTTGTCACAAATGACAGACTTTCCTTCTTTTTAAGGTTGAAGAGTATTCATATGTATATATATATATTTTTTTTTTTCTCTATCCAATCCATTGATGAGCACATGTCTTGATTCTGCACATACTATTCTCTATTGTGAATAATATTGCAGTGAACATGGGAATGTGGATGGCTCTGATTTCATTTCCTTTGAAGATATACCCAGTAACGGTGTGGCTGTATCATACAAGTAGTTCTGGCTTTCATTTTTTTGAGGAACCTCCATACTGTTTTCCATAATGACTGTATTACATTCTTACCAAATTATACCTGGATTCCCTTTTCTGCACATTCTTGTCAACACTTATCTTTAGTCTTTTTGATGATAACCATCCTGACAAGTATGAGGTCATACCTCATTTTGGTCCTAATTTGCACTTCCCTAAAGATTCACTAATCTTTAGTGATTTGGGCCATTTTTTGTACACCTTTTGGCCACTTGTATGTCTTCTTTTGAGAAATGTCTGTTCAGATACTTTGCCTAGTTTGAATCAAGTGGTTTTCTCACACTGTTGAATTGTTTGAGTTCCATATATGTACATAAGGAACTTATATTCCCTTGTCACTGGGGCAAATATCTGACATTCACAATTTAAAGGAGTTTTGGCTCATGTTTTCAAGGGTTCAGTCCATGGTCATTTGGCTCCAAGGCAGAAACATCATAGTGGAAGGCTGTGGTAGAGCAAAGCTGCTCACTTTGTGGTGGTAGGAAGCAGAGAGAGAAGGAAAGATCTGGAAATACACCCTCCAGAGACACACATTCTGTGTCCTCCTTCCTCCACCTGGGTCCCACCTCCCAATAGCACATTTGCTATGAACTCATCAAGACATTAATTAACGGACAAGTACAGTGATAGCACTCCCCTGATTTAGTCACTTTCCCAAAGCCCCCCCAGCACAGTAGATACTGGGGAGCCATTTTAAATCCAGGCCATAGCAGCCCTGAATCAGATGTATGGTTTGCAGATGTATTCTTTTCTATAGTTTATCTGCATTCTGATTATTATTTCCTTATGCAGAAGGTTTTAATTTGATGTATTCTTATTTGTCTAGTTTTGCTTTTTTTTTTTTCTTGATTTTAGCTTCACATCTCCCAAAAATAATATCATTACTCACACCAATGTCATGAAGCTTTTCCCCTGTTTCCTTGTAATGATTTATGGTTTCAGGTCTTATGTTTAAGGCTAATCTGTTTTGAGTTGATTTTTATATATGGTATGAGATCAGGATTTAATTAAATTCTGCATGTAAATATCCAGTTTTTCAGCACCTTTTGTTGAACAAACTATCCTTTTCCCATTGTATGTTCTTGGCATCTTTGTTGAAGAGGAATTAGCCATAAATGTGTAGATTTATTTCTGGTCCCTCTATTCTGCTCCATTGGACTGTGTGATTGTTTTATGTCAGTATTATGCTGTTTTTATTATCATAGCTTTGAAGTAGATTTTGAAATCAGGTTATATGCTGCTTCTAGCTCTGTTCTTTTTGTTCAGGATTGCTTTGGCTGTTCAGAGGATTTTGTAGCTCCATATGGCTTTTAGGATTATTTTTTCTATTTCTGTGGAAAATGTCACTGGAGTTTCAATAGGGATTGCATTGAATTTATAGATTGCTTTGAGTAGTATGGACATCAACAATATTGATTATTCCAATCCATGAACATGGGATATCTTTCCATTTATTTGTATCACCTTAAGTTTCTTTTGTAAGTGTCTTAGTTTTCAATATACAGATCTTTCATCCTGGTTAAATTTATTCCTGAGTATTTTTTAAAACTCTTTTTTAACCTTATGTTCTAACTCAGAGTCTATTCAAAAGACAGCCCTATCACTACAATAATATTCTCTAAAATATACAATAATATAACTCTAAAAACATTTCTTGGACACCTGGCACCTTGTGGGTATTATACTAGATGAGTATAAAAATAAAAAGAAATAAAATTTTCACCCTCAAGGAGTTTACAATTTGAGGGGACAGATATATGACAACTAACCCTAATACCAAGGTCTAAGTTATAAAAAGGCATAAAAATAAAAAAGCATTTAAATTAGGACACGAATAATGAGAAGATGGGTGGGACTTAGCTACATTAACAAGTGGAGAGGTCCTCTCAGGCAGAGGGACAATATGAAGAGAAAAGCGAAACAAAGAGGAGAGAAAATGATAGATGGTTTGAGATCATGCATAGTGAACAAAGGTCAGAGAAATAGACTGATGTCAGTGGACCACTCCATGTTAGAGACCGCTTTTTCCTGCCCTCTCCCCTGAGTACATTTGTCCCTGAACCCCCCCCCTTCCCCTTCTTTTGGTGGTGCTGGGGTTTAAACCCAGAGCCTTGTGCTTGCTAGACAAGTGCTGCACCACTGAGATACATCTCCATCCCTAGTATCTCCCCACCCTCTGTTTTCTTTTTCTTTTTGAGATAAAGCCTTGCTGGGTTGTCCAGTGTGACTTCAAATTTGTAATCCCCTCCCAAGTAGCTGGGATTATAGCTGTGCACCATCGTAGCAGCTTCTTTCCCCAATTTTATTCTTCCCTCCAATAACCTTCTCTTTTACAAACCACAGTGATTATTATTTGTGCCCAGGTCTTACTATTCAAGATTGTGAATTCCTTGAGGTCAAGGATGATGTCATTAGTCATTTATCATCCCCAGCAAAACCTAGAATACTCTGCGAAAGTACTTTGTCCCTTTGAGTAGGATCAGGTCGGACACTCCTATGTGATCTAACTTCCTTCTCACCATCAGCCCCCATTCTGAGGTTCAGGGACACCCAGACCGTATGACAGTACACAGAAGTTCAGGGCGGTCATTCACGTGGACTTGTGCATGGGCCTGTGCAAGGTCAGACAGTGCAGGCCGAAATCCTTGTCTTCTCAGCCTCCCCACTTTGGACTACAAATGGGAAAGCTTCTATTACCCTTCCTTTACACTTACACCTTTGTTTTAGAACTACAGGCTGTTAGCTGTGCAGATAGAGCATTCACATTCAAACCGACTCTTTGTGTCTGTGTGGAAGACTGGCATCTAATCCAGAAGTCTGTCAGTTTCAGTTGCACTTGTGAGGTGGCAGCCAGGACTCTGGTGTTTTCTCAGCTGGTCTTATACATGCTAAGCTTCTGTGGCACTGATTTTGTGCTTAGAGATACCCAGTTTTCACAGAATGTGACAGTAGGGTTCATACAACACATGCTCATTTTATGTTCATGAAAAGAAATCATCAGTTTCTAGGTGATATAAAAGATTTTCAAAATAATTTCAACTCACACTGTCGCCTTTTGTCCCCCTGCTTAACCGGTGTGAGTAAGCTCTGGTGAAATACACACAGATCATAACTTACTTTCCTTGTCACTCCATTTAACCTTACGCTTTTGTTGTGACTGTGCTGTGTGAGCACCTCCTATACTGGGTTGTGGTAGAAAAAGAGGGATGAGATTCTGACTGATCTCTGGGAGCTGAGTTTAGGAGACAGCTGTGTAAATATGTAGGAGCTTCAGGGTGAATCAAGGCATGGAAGCTGGGGTGGTGGGGAGGCTGGCAGGGGGTTGGGAATTAAAGAACACTTCTAGAAAGGACATCTAAACTTAAACTGGCTTTGAAAGACAGGCTCTGAAGTGGAAGCAGGAAGCAGTGTTTCAGGTGGAGGGGAAGCAGGTACAAAGGCGTGAAGGTGAGAAGCTGGGTGTTGGAGGAACTGTAAAGGACCAGCTTGTTTCCTCGATAAGGAGCGGGACTTTGTTCTGTGACCCTCTATTCCTCTGAGTATGGTCCCTAAACCACAGGTATCACAGTGCCTCGTGGAACCTGGTAAAACAGAGACTCCTGAATCTTAAACTGCATTTCCAGAATTAGGAAATCTGCCCAGGGATAGGGAGTCTGCATTCAGCAGATTCCAGGGATTCGGTATGCGGACTACTACGGCTGTGTAGGTGGTGACAGGCATGGAACAGTGTGGGGAGGTATTTCCCAGGAAGCAGGCAGACCATTGGGAGGCTGTGCACTGGGAGTTCTGGGATTAGGAATGATGGGATGGAATAGACAGCCCACAGCCTACTATCAAATGCTCAACAGGTGGGTGTAGGACTTGGTGAACAGTTGAACACCCTCCTGTTTGACGTGTGTATTTTCAGGATGTGAGGCAACAGAGTGAGCAGCTAACACTGCAGGCTCTGATATGTGACTACCCTGGAGTCCAGCTCCTACTTACCTAACCTCTCTGCGCCTCCAATCTTTGGTAAAATGGCAACAAAGAACCTACCTCATTGAGTATTTGTGAGGATTAGATGAGATAATACCCAGAAGAGTTTAGGACAGTGTCTGGTGCTGAGTAATGCTCATGCATTTTAGAGAGGCAAAGCGGATAGTACTAATTAACGTAATATTCAGCTGTAGTATAGAAGTAATAACACAACTAGTTAAAAGCACATTAAAGAACTCAAAAGCCTGATGACCTCAATGTAAATCCCAGGCTAGCATTTATTAGTCTTGTAACTTTGGGAAAATTAAATTATTTAAAGTCTCTCTGCCTCAGTTTCTTCATCCATGAAATGGGAAGGGCAAGAATGCATGCCTTATATGGCTGGGATTAAAGTCATGCATGTGAAGGCTTGGCACAGTGCAGGCACATAGCAAGGACTTGATCCGTGTTGGTCGTCGTAGCTCAGGGTGGAGCGCTTGTCCATTATGTGAGAAGCCCGGGTATGTGAGATCCCCAGCCCTGCAAAAAGGAAACACAGTTGACTGTTGTTGTTGCGGTCGATAAAGATAATAATAATAAGAGGAAAAGCAGGTATGCTGCTGCTTTAATCATCTAGGTAGGCAGTGTGGAATGTGGGCTTGGAACATAGCAAAGAAATCAGGCAGAAGAGATCAGTTCGGAAGTGAAAAGTGTAGAGAAGCTGCTTGAAATCATAAGCTTCAGTGCAATGTCAAAGGCAGGAGTCAAAAAGGGAAGAAAAGGTGGGGAATGGAAATGGGAGGAAGAACGAGTGTGCTCTGAGCTGGGATCTTACTTAAAATCCTTAAGACCAAGGATTTCTGTGTCATCTTACTTGTAGCCTGTAGCGGAGATAATATTCTCTCACTTCCTAATACGTCCGCAGTATAGCACACCTGCACAGTGTAACGTGGTGTGCCGGACCCAGCTTGTACTGGCTTGCTCAGTGGCTTCAGTTTGGTGGCTTGTGGTCGGCCACAGTGGGAGCATTTATACTATGGAAAAGGGCTAATGCTACACACCAGAGCTCCCTCCCCCAGCTTCCAGCCAGCTGCTACCACCACTGAAGAAATGGAGGCGAAGACAAGTGAAACCTCCGCCCTTTAATGACTGGGGTTTTCCAAAGTTGAACTCCAATTCCGCCCATGCTTGAAAACAACCCTGCAAGTGAGTTCCTGTGTCCCTCTAATACTGTGCAGGGAAACAACTCTGAATGAGTATAGAAAAGTGACTTGGAGCCTCTGTTGATGACAAATGCTTGAAATGCGGGGATTATTTTTCCCTCACTACTAAGCTTGCAACTACTAAAGAAAGCCATTGAACAAAGAGAAGCTGGAAGATGTGGGAGGGAGGGATAAAATTACAAATGGATTGTGTGAAATTATGTAATCCATACACCATACTTCAGTGAGTTGAGGAGAAGTTGCATGGGACACTTAGAACACTCGACACACTCGAGAACAGTGTCATTTAAAAATGGCTAAGATCACTTAGCATGAATTCAGAGGCTTTACAGAAAGCTGTGACATTATTTTATGCCTCTTCTTTGCAAATTAGCCCCCTTCCTGCCTAAAATATGTGAGGAGGGAGGTCATGCTAACTTGACATCTGAGGTGATTATAGGAACCCTGCTCCTACTCCTCAAGATCTCATTTTGGGAGCTCTTCTTACATTTCAAGTGGACAAAGATTCAACCTGTATTTCCTAAGTATTAGGAACTATGATGTGTGTTAGTTTTTTGTTACAAACTCTCTGACATATCAAATAGAAAAGTAGAAAGATTTTTTTAGCCTCACAGTTTTTGAGGTTTCAGCCTGAGTTCTCTTGGCCCTTTGCTTTTGTGGCTGTGATGAGGCAGCACATCACAGTGGGAAGCAGTTGCTATCTCATGGCAGCCAAGAAGCACACAGCAAGAGGAAGAGGCCAAGGTCCCAAGAGCCCATTGGAGGACATGCCTCCAATGACCTAACTTCCTCCCATGAGGCTCCACCTCCTAGAAGTTCAGCTGCCTCCCAGTGGTGCCACCACAGGCTGGGGACCCACCATATATGGGCTTTTGGGACAGTCACAATCCTAGCTGTAGCTCTGTGTTAATAGGGTAGAACATTGAATGTGACAGATGTTGTTCCTGCCTTCAGGCAGCTTATAGTCAAGTGAGGGATTTGAACAGTTAAAATACTGTGTGACAAGTGATGGAGTTTTCTAAAACTTTTAAGAGAAAACATCATTGATGTGAGCTCAAAGGGTAAGTATTCTTACCTCCAAGTCTAATTAAAAAAAAATAATGTATATAGTGAGAGAAATATTATATAACAGGTCAGGAAAGCCAGGTTTTCTTTCTTTTGACTATCTTTGTGATATGTCTAGGTTCAATTTTCTCATTTATAAAACAGGAATGATAATATTTGTCCTGCTAACTCATAGGATAATTACAGGGAAGGGAATACATGAACACTATAAATATTGAACATTCACTTTCTCCTGATGTCACGTGGACTGTAACTCAGTGCCAGTCATTAATAACTCCTTCACATGCTTATTCATGCAGCAAGCATCTGTTAACCACCAGCTTTGTTTAATATCCTGTGTTAGACACTCTACTTGGTTGAGTCATATCTTGTTGCCTTGTTCCTTTCAAAGAATCTTGCGTTATGTAGCAATAATTTTCATATGATAGTGGATAGTGAGAGGAAATCTGGGGATCTGTTGATCCCCGATTTTGGTCTAAAGTCTTGCTCCACTTTTGTAATCCGCTCAGACAGGTGCATGAAAGGTACCAGGAAGAACACAAATGAAAAGCTGTTGGCTTAAAAACTTATCTCATGCTTAGGTTAGTTTAACATCTGGAAAAAAACCTAATTTTGTCTTGTGGAATTATTGTCAAACTGTTTATGATTACCTGAAAAATTCATGCTTTTCATTTTATTGGCTAACCGGTAACCACCAAATGAAATAATTTATATCAAAATAGACAGGTAAAGATTTTATAGCACTGTATCCATTTGGTGTTAACATTTATATTCATTGTGCAAGAATTAGTTTTCATTTAAATTTTGAATACCTTAGAGACAAAAGGAAGACCTTATCTTATAGACCCAATAGAATGTATACTAGAAAGCTAAAAGAGCAAAGCATGATCCCAAATATTTCTAACTTCTGGATCTTTAATTTTTTTTCACTGTAAGACACAAATGTTTGAACAATATGCAGTAGCTCTGCGTCAGTGCTCATCAAAGAAAATTTTCTAATTCAACTGCTAGCAAAGATGGTTGGCATCAGTTGTTTCTCCAGAATATGCTAGTGATGTGTTTTCATCTTCACAAGTAACACTGCGTCTTAGTCCAGAGCCCCACAATTTAAAGGAGGAGACTTTAGGCTCAGTTCCCATTGCTCGAGGCAGAAACCTCAGGTGGGAGGGCAGAGGAGGGAAGCAGAAAGTTTAGCAGGGAGGGGGGGGGGAGGACTGCCCTTCTAGGCCCCGCCCCCAGCGTGTTGCCTCCAGCCAGGCTCCGCCCCTAACCCCCGCTCCCCGCAGTACAGTGGCCCTGGCCCAGTCACCTCTCCAGCACAGGAGGCTTTGGGAGGACAATTTAGATCTAAACCATTACTCTGATGTGCTTTCAGAGTTTGTTTGGATTTGGGATTTTTTGTTTCGTTTTGTTTTGTTTAATGGTGAGCTGGGCGAGGTGGTGCTCACTTGTGATCCCAGCACTCTGGGAGGCTGAGGCAAGAGGATCACAAGTTCCAGCCCAGCCTGAACAAATTAGCAACTTAGTGAGACCCTGCCTTAAAAATAAAAACATGAGAAAGGGCTGGGGATGTCCTTAGCTCAGCGTGGAGCCTGGATTCAATCCCCAGCTTTAGGGGGCGCGGGTTAAAATTAAAGTGGCAGAGCCTGCTTCATCCAGACTCTTTTTAAAATATATAAGCAGCGTTAGCCTAATAGACATCCCTCCGGCTCTGTGGTTTTATTTACAAGTGGAGCAACGCACTCCAAGCCTGTCTAACCTGAAACCAAGAGTGAGAGCGGGCTGGTGCGGTCACCCTCAAGCTCAGAGCAGCTGCAGAATTAATTGCTCTGCAGCCCTTTTCCTGCGCGTCTCAGTTCCGTGGCTCTGGTGACCAGGCGTGGGCGGTTCCAGGCCCCGCTCGCCCTTTCTGTGGACACAGGGTCTTCCTCCTTTTGGTTCTGAATGGTGCTTCCCTGGAGCCCACCCAAACATCTTCCTCCCCCAAAGGCAACTGTTTGCCGTGTCTGCCGATGCTTGCCAGTGTGTTTTTATTTCTGTAAGGCACAACAGAGCGTCAGTGGGTTTTGTGTTTCTTTTCTGGTCATATATTTTCCCGTTCTTTCAGCGTTGCCTCCCGATGTCCAGAAGGAAAGGGAACCCTTTGGACAAGGCGCTCCCTAAACTTCTTCCACCGCTCTGTTCTCCATCCTCTCCCTTCCAGTCACTGCTGCTGCCTGATAAGTCTCTGCGCAGAATGAGCTTTGTCCTTAGCAACAAAGGTGAAATGGAGGAGGCACGAGGCAGGGTTCATCTCCGCCGAGGTCATCTTAGCCCCTCCGAATTTCTGCGCCCCCCACCCCCCGCGTGTGCCCTGTAAGCCCCGTGCCTATGCTCCGTGAAAGCCAGGCGCTGCAGCAGCCCAGGCCGTCTTCCACGGTCACTTCCTGCATGTGCTGTCCTAGAAGGGAGACTCGCTTTTTATTTTTTATTTTTTGGTACCAGGGATCGTACTCGGGTCCTTGCACTTGCGAGGCAGGCGGCAGAACCACTGTTGCTATTTAATTATGCTTCTTTCACTGGTTCTGTTTCTCGTCTTGTTCGATTCTATGTTATCTTTATCATATATTTTGATAAGTTTTCTTTTAATTTTTTTACTTTGGTTTCTTAAGACAGGGTCTCACTGTGTAGTCCAGCCAGGCTGGCTTGAACTCATAACAATCTTCCTCGTGCTTCAGTCTCCCCAGATCTGGATTATAGGTGTTTGTCACCCCACCTAGCCAAGTTTTTAATTCTTAGACTTATTCGTACTCTCTTTTAAAAAGTACTTTTAAGTGGGATATAGCAGAATTGTTTCTGATCTGTCAGTTTTGCAGTATCTGTTGTCCAGATGTTTAGAGGAACGCAAAAACAAATACCACATTAACCACATGTGAGGATGCCTCCTTAAAGAGAGAGCCACCCCTTCCTCTGTCCTCTACCACCACATACACATGACTTTTTTGTCTCATTATGTCACCAAGGCCAGCCTTTATTTAGCCCCTGGGCTCAAGTGACCCTCCTGCCTCAGCCTTCTGGTGAACCTGGGACTCCAGGCTCACACCACCATCCCCAGCTCCAACATAATGTTTTTGAAGCATGTGCACCACTACTACATTCATGCATGTTGGAAAGGCTCCGTGTCAAGGATAAAATGATCCTGGGTTCTGCTACATTTGAAAGGAAGCGGCACTGTCTCCTCCCGGTGTGGAAGGTGCTCCTCTGAGGATGTGGATCTCACGTTTTTGTCTTTTGAGCACATCTGAGGTGCAGAAGCGGTGAAGAAATGTGCTGGGCTTTGTGATTTCAATAACATGGTGCCCTGGGGTCTGGAAAGAACCCTGAGGGTCTGGTGAGAGCCGGGTTATTGCAGATTGTTCTGCCCAGCAGTCCTGGTGGTGTTTGTTCCATGCTGAGTTCACTCTGTCACCACTTTCTCTTTCTAAACCAAGAAAGAAACTATTTCTGGAGCATTCAATTCCCAGATTTGACCCCCGCCACCTTCACTGTGCCCTTCCCAAAGCACACTGCATTGATGTATAGGAACAAAGTATGAAATTGTGACTGCATATAAAAGAAATGATCTCTCCAATGATTAAAGTATAAACCACGTGTAGTAGCCCACGCTTGTAATCCCAGCACTCTGGGAGGCTGAGGCAGGAGGGGCACAAGTTCAAGCCCAGCTGGAGCAATTTAGTAACTTAGGGAGACCCTGGCTCAAAATGAAAAAAATGAAAAGGGCTGTGGATGTAGTTTGGTATGAAAGCACTGGTTCAGTCCCTAATGCTGAAAAAAAATTAAAAATACAACCTACAAGTCCATTTTGAACAAAACTTCTCTCTTTCCACCTGTTAATATTTATGTATTCCTATTAAAATAAGTTATAAAAACAAAAACAGGTATCTGTTACCCTGGACATGCTGTTGCCTCTGCCTCCTCTCTCCTTTAAAGGATGAATCCAGCAAGAATGAGACTATTTCCTAATATTAATTTCCTTCTTTGTTATTTCATCTAGAAAGCATCCTTTTTGGATTTTTAAAATATAATCTCAGGGAGAATACATAGCCAGCGAGATCCTGAGCCTTAGAATTCTAAGTATGCTTATGTGCATGCAGTTTATGAAAATCAGCCTCTCTTTCATAACCTCTGTGTCCTCTGTGCTCCGAAACTCGGGTGCCCAGGTTTCTTCCAAGAGCTGTCAAGAGCTTGGGATTTTGGCAAAACTCTAAAATAAAGCCCCTCTCCTCTTGTATCTATGTGATTAGAATGTTAGTTTTTATTATATTTTTGTGGAAGCTGAGTATATTTTAATTATGTTATAAAGTCTTTGCAGCGCCACTTTTTAAAGCAAATGCCAATCTGAATATATTTTGCCAACCACCTAAAAAAGTGATTTTGCATAGACTTTATTGGTCTGGAAGTTAAATCGGAATGAATTGAGCTACGTACAGTAAGGAGTCTCATGTTCTAAGTATAATTACAGCACAGTGCAGGGCCAGGGGTGCAGCTCAGTTGTAGAGCACTTGCCTAACATGTACAAGGCCCAGATTGGATCCCCAGCAATGAAAAAAAAAATCCCTTCAGGGGAATGGGGAAAAACAAGAACCAAGATATATCATGTAAAGGTTCAAGATCCCAACGATAAATGTAACTAATGTTTGCTTTAAATGTACCAATAAACTTAATGGGAAAAAATCCCTTCAGGTTACCCATGGAAGCTTAAAGTATTCTTTTGCTGCGACTGAGGAATCTAATTCTGTAGTGCTCAATTTCATAATTTAATTTTTAGGTACCAAAGGAAGAAATAAAGGAGAGTTCACAAATCTTCAGGGCGTAGCTGCATCTACAAGCGGAAAGATATTAATCGCCGACAGTAACAACCAGTGTGTGCAGGTGGGTCCCTTCCTTTTACACTGAGAAAATAGATGCAGTCGCATATTTTCCTACGTTAGCTCTAAGGTGTATGGTGCAAGGAAAGAAGCTTATGCTCACGCCTGCAGACTCCTCACGCAGGGTTGGCATGTTCCGAGCTCTGTATGAGTAACAAGTGGTGCTTGTTTTGACTGGATAGTTCCAGTGCTGTGTTCACATTCCATCTCTGTCCATTTGCTCTTCAGATATTTTCCAACGACGGCCAGTTCAAAAGTCGCTTCGGCATCCGAGGGCGCTCGCCTGGGCAGCTGCAGCGGCCCACGGGGGTTGCTGTACACCCGAGCGGGGACATAATCATCGCGGATTATGACAATAAATGGGTTAGCATTTTTTCTTCAGATGGGAAGTTTAAGGTAAGATTAACCAGCAGTCAGCCACTAAATGAGAGGGAGCAGGAACCAGAAACATGGGACGAAGTTGTCTGTTTTCTGTTTTGAAATCCAATCCAATCTTCAGGCACAAAGACATTGGCCTCTAAATCACATGCTGCAAGAGTAAGAGTGATAATTTTATAAGCCTGCTCATGTAGACCCTAAAGGTGGCTTCATTTTATCAAGCAGTTTGCTCCGTTGCTTTGTTTTTTCTTTAAACCATCAGATTCAGAGGAAAACTGTTCTCATTACCCCAACTCAGTGCAAAACAACCACCCTTTGAAAAGAGTTATGAAGAAGCAGCTTATAATTCTCACATTGACCTACGGGTGCCTTCTACTTTCTCAGACTGGGATGGATGACCGGGGGAAACCAGATCGTAAGACGTGGTTCTCAGCTTTTAAAAATATAAAAGTTATATATGGAGGGGAAAAAAGAGTAATGCACAAGAAAGGACAGATAAGAGTTCATTTCATGTCAGCCACAAATTGATACAATCCAAAAGCACAGCGTTAAGGGGTGTCATTTCAGATTTGGAATGGAAAGAGAAAAGAGAAACCGTGAAGGTTCACGCTGCGTGGCACTTTGAAGGATCCCGTCACGTGATCGCTGTGCGGTCATCCTGGCATCTTTATGGGAATGTAAGAATGGTGTCTGTGTTAGTCGGCTTTCTCCAGTACCTGAGCCCATTGACTTGGGAGGAGAAAAGGTTTATTTTGGAGGCCTCAGTCCATGGTTGCTCGGCCCTGTTGGCTTGAGCCTGTGGTGGTGCAGTACATCATGGTGGACATATGGCAGGGGAGACCGCTCACCTTGTGGCAGCCAGGAAGGAGGGAAAAAGAGAGAGAAAGGGGCCAGGTCCCAAAACCCCTCAAGAGCAACTCCCGCTAGGCCCCACCTTCCACTCCCTCCCAGTAGCATTATGGGCTGATAGCCGTGCTCTAACTCCTGGCCTAGCAGTTACTATTTCAACTCAAAGAGCAGAGAGCCCCATGGTGATGACAGGTCTCTGAAGCTGCCATCGGCGAATTGTTACCATCCAGCCCGTTCTGTTCATTTGTTCACAGGAGTATAACTTGTCAAGCATCTTTTCTGAAAGCACATGCACAATGCCCTTGGCGTCTCCCTCCCCAGCCTACTAGAGACCTCTGATTCAGCCAATGGCGTAAACTTTAATTTAGACAGATCGACCTGCTGGAAACTGTGGCTTATGAACTGTTTGGCCTTTCACAAATTATGTAATTCCCTTGAGCCTTGATGGTCCAATATGTAAAATTTGAATTTAAAGCAATCTGTCTCATAGGATTTTGAGTAAAGACTAGATGAAGTTTTATTTTGGGTTCCATATGTGCCTCATACAAAAAAGATATCTAAGAAATTTTCTTTTCAATGCCTGTCCTAACTGCTCAAAAAAGTGAAGTCTGTTTGCCCAGCTGGTATTTGGATTCAAGGCCTCAGGCAGGTTCCCGTGGTTATCATCTCCTTACCCAAAGGCTTGGATGTGCCTTAAACCCATCCTGGAACCCTAAAGATGGCATGATTGGCCTCTGATCAAAGGGATTTATGGTTTCCTTGTTAAAGTCTTTGGATTGCTACAGTTACCTCGTGGTTTTTATGGGATGGGTTACTTATATAATTATTAACGCTCAAGTTAGAGCCCGTACGGGGCAGCAACTTTTCAACCCGGGAGAGTAAAAGGTTGTCATTTTTAATTCTATAACACTGTATGCAAGTCTTCAGCAGCCCTTGAATTTTTTATTCCTTAGAAATCTGACAGCTGCATAGGCAGTACGGGTCATACATACACCAGGATCTCTTGCTTTTCTGCACCTCTAACTTCCTTCCTTTCCTGTGTACTTTTATAGTTCCGTTACCCAAATGTGACAACTGTCATGGGAAGACAGTGAAAGCTTTTCCGTGATCTCTTGATAGTGCTCATCTAGTTTGGAGACAACCCATTTGTCCTTAAAATTATCATCTCTCTGTAAATTCAGGAGGTAACACTGAAATAGATTTCACATAGTGAGGCAGGAGTTCAACATCCAAGGGTGAAATCTAAGGGTCCTTTAATTAAGAGTTTCACATTCACTGGCTTACTAGTCTTGTCTGCAATAGAACCTCTTCTTTGAAGAATTTGGTTCTTGGAGTTAGAATACTGTTAGTAATAGCTGGAATAAACACCGAAGAACACTCTCGCCCCCTAGAGGACAGGGAGAGTGGTATGCTATGCTTTCAGCAGCACTCTTTTTTATGATCGATGTTAGTCAGAACCCAAGTGGTAGAAGGGATAGCAAGAGAAAACACTTTAGTGCCCCTTAAGTGTTGACACACAACTATACACCAGGAGAGTCCTGTTTTTCTTCTTTGGTGACACTCGGTAAAATTAAACGGGTGTTAAGGAACACTTAAAGTCAGTCCAGGTTCTTTGCTTTTATTCCAGTTCATCCAGTTTTCATGCTCTTTAATTGTCCTTTAATTTTTAAGGTCTTAAGTGTCCTTTAGCTTTTTCTTTTTTCCTCTCCCCTCCTAGCTTATAACTTCTAGCCATTCTGGGAAACTTCTGTGATAAGAATCACCACAGTGGCCCGTCTATTTGCTACCCCTTGAAGTATCTCTTCCCTATTCAGATTAAAGGACCTATTGGTTCAGTTAAATACTTTCATTTAACTGTTCCAAAGTTAGGGTCTGAAGTATTTTTGCTTGCTGTTTTCAATGGGTTCACACAGTCAGGCCAAACACAGTGATTGTCACTTCACTTGGGAGAGTTTGGTATTGTACACCCAAACCAGGAGTGATAGGTGGGAGGTGGAAGGAAAGAAAATGTTGGTTCAACATATAAGATGTTCCTTTAGATCTGCCCTGGTTGACCTTACACGATAGAATGATAGAATGGAGGTAATCCTATGGGTTTTTTTCCTAGATAATTATCCATTTGGTGTTATATGGTTGAGTCATTCAAAGTAATGACTACTAGTTTTCATAATGTTAGGTACTACTAAGCAGAGTAACGTAATCCTTTTGATCTCTGTGGACACAAAAGAATATTCGCCATTTCTTAACCCAGCGTGGTGGTGCACGCCTATAGCTTCAGCACCCCAGTGGCTTAGGCAGGAGGATGCCAAGAGTTCAAGGCCAACCTGGGCTACATAGCAAAATCTTGTCTTAAAAAAAAAAAATTGGAAAAGAATATTTGCCATTTCTTTAGCTGCCTTTGTATTGTGGCCTCTGATCTTTGGGCTAGAGTGAAACATCAGAATCACATTTATACAACTGCTACAAAAGCTAGTGTTTCCTTTGTTCTAAAGGGATCAAATCTGAATCTCAGTAATTTATAACCATGGAATAAAGGATTGTACTAAGTCTGAATCCTCACAGGGGAAAGCTCCCATCTCTCTACTAGAAAAATTTAAATACACACATAGCTCACATTGTATTTCTATCAAGCATGATACTGTGGACTGGGAAAATAAAGGATCTGAAGCAGAAATTTATGAGAATGTAATGGGGGATTAATTTTTAATTTTTAATTACGTTTTTAATTTAGTGGGGTTTTTTTTTTGTTTTTGTTTTGAGATAGGGTCTCACTGTGTACTCTAGGCTGGTCTTGAACTCACTGTGTAGTCCCAGCTGGCCTCGAATTTGCAGTGATTCTCCTTAGGACTACAGGCATGTGCCACAACGCCTCTCTTCATTTTTAATTTAAAAAGTAATACTCATATATGTGAGTGGGCTTTTAAAGTCCATCTAGAGGAGTATAAAGTGAACAGTATGAGCTTCTCCTGCCACCATTGAAACCACTTTAAGACAGTCATCTGACCCCTAATCCAGAATCTTTCCCTGGACCACACTGCTTCCTAAGAAGGGACCCGTGGCCATGGTCTCAGGGACTTGGGAGCATTTTTTTCTGGTGGTCCCTTTAAGAAAATATGGCTTTCCCAGCAAATAAACACATGAAAAAATGTTCAACATCACTCATCATTCAAGAGATGCAGATGAAAACAGCACTGAGATTCCACCTCACCCCAGAAAGAATGGCTGCTGTCAAGAAATCAATCAGTAACAAATGTTGGTAGGGCTGTGGGGAGAAAGGAACCCTTCTTCATTGTTCGTGGGAGTGCAGACTGGTGCAACCACTGTGGAAATCAGTATGGGGATACCTCAAACAACTAGGATTAAAAAGTCCCATTTGACCCAGCTGCTGGGTATCTTTCCAAAAGAGTTAAAAGAATCATACCACAGTGGTATATGCGCACCTATGTTTATAGCAGCACAGTCTGTAACAACTAAAGCTTGGAAACAGCCCATTTGCCCATCGACTGGAGACTGGATAAAGAAAATGTGTTTTATATGTATAACGGAGTACTACTACTCAGCCATAAAGAATGAGAAATTAGAGATATTTATAGCTAAATGGATGCATATTGAGGAGATACTCTTAAGTGAAATAAATAGGACACACATGTGTAAATACCAAATAATTTATCTTGTGTGAGGACTAAAATGAATAATGGGTAATCTGCAATAGGAAGGAAAGGTCCAAAGGGGTAGGGCAAGTGGGAAGGGTAGGGGAAAGGAAAGAAGGGAAAGTAAAAAATGTGACATAAGAAGTAAATGGAAAAAAAGCCTTTGCAAATAGAGAAAAGTGGAGGGGGTGAAGGGAGGGCAGGGGTATGGGGAAAAAATAAGAACCAAGATGTATCATGTAAAGGTCCAAGGTCCCAATGATGACTGTCATCATATTGTATACCTAAATTGTATCAGTAAAAGAATCTAAGAGAAATAAAGTAAGGCTGTCCTACAAATGCCATGAGCAGGTGATGGGTGTGACGGAGCCAGTGTCCAGGGACCGGAGAGCGTCGTGACCGCGAGTGACCGCGCACCCCACCAAGACACTGCGTCCGTGTTTGCTACAAGTGTAGGGCTCCCTGTCTGCAGGGTTTTCAACTTGGTGTCCGTGCTGCATCCCTGTACTTGTTTCCAACAGACAAAAATCGGATCAGGAAAGCTGATGGGGCCCAAAGGAGTCTCCGTGGACCGCAACGGGCACATCATTGTGGTGGACAACAAGGCGTGCTGCGTGTTTATCTTCCAGCCCAACGGGAAGATTGTCACCAAGTTTGGCAGCCGAGGGAATGGGGACAGGCAGTTTGCAGGTACACTCGATGGTAATATGTAAACCCCCTTTTTTATGCTTCCTCTGCTCACGTTTGCATGAGGCCGGAGCATGTTGAAGACGCCACGTCCCCATTGTGCTGGCCGCTCTGGGAAGGAAGGATGTTGGGGCGAGAGCATGGTTAGATGCTTCTCAGTCTCTCCGCTGGCTGTAAGTCAAACTGCACAGTAAAAACTGGATTTTCTGGCCGGGGATTTAGCTCAGTGGCACTGTGCCTGTCTCACAAGCACAAGGTCCTGAGTTCGATCCCTGGTGCCAACAAAAACAAACAAAAAACTCTGTTTTTTTATTGGTGATAACTTGCAACACAGAAGCCTAATGTTCAAAAATACATATTGAGTAAAATATGCATTTTTAAAAATAAAAATGTTTAAGGAAAAACAGTAACTCCTGTTTCCCATAGCAGCAGCTTTATTGAAATGGAAACGTATTTCCTCTTTCTAAGCTATTTTGAGAACAGGAGTTGAGAGTACTTGTGAAGGCTGTTGTCTTCTCCTTCTGGTGTGCCGCTTTGCAATCACAGGCTTACAACAGTTTTCACGTCTGCAAGAAGAGGCTGCCCATGGTTCATTGATTTTCTCTTTGAAATGTTGCTTTGGGTGTTTAACATTAGTTTGCTTTCATTTTTTTGTGCTTTGCCTTCAATTCTTTGTCCTGCCAGGTTCTGAATGTCACCTGAAATTACAGAGTATGGGTTTTCTGCTCAACTTTCTAGAAGAAAATTTACATATTGGAGTCTCTTTCCCAGTGCTAAGAGTTGCCACATCTTTCTTTCCTCAGTAGAAGCTGAGGGCCCTTAGGGAAACTAACATGCGTTCAAAGGAGCGGGCAGGTGTGACCTTCAGATGGTAGTGCAGAGAACCAATTCTGCTGCTTTCCTGCTCTTTCCACACTGTCAGAGCTGCTCAGACTCCTAGCTTGGGGGAAGTCAGAGGTGGAATCCCAAGTGTGGAATAGTGTGGGATCCAAGTTTTCTGGAGCCGGAGGTCAGGCTGAATGATATATCAAGGACTGGGTGTCTGGTTCTTTGTTCTTTCTCACATAATTAATATATGAAGTTTGTTTTTTGTTACAGTACTTGATAGGTTATGATCATTTTTGTTGTAATAGTAATCATGTATGTTTTCCATCTTCATTGCAGGTCCCCATTTCGCAGCTGTAAATAGCAATAATGAGATTATTGTTACAGATTTCCATAATCACTCTGTCAAGGTACTATTTACTACACATTCGTTGTTGTTACCTTCTAACTGTTTTTATGGTGAAATCAGTGAGGGAGAGAATAACTTACAGAGACCTACGGGACTTGAAGGGTTAACCTGGAAGAGTAGATGAAGGCTTTCATAGGAGCATACAGACTTTGGAGAGTCGGGGAACCGAACAGTGTACAGTCTTAAATTTCTTTCTTTTTTTTTTTTCTTTTTTTGAGACAGGGTCTCACTATGTAGTTGAGACTGACCTGGACCTCACTATGTAGCCCAGGCTGGTTTCGAACTCACAGTGATCCTCCTGCCTCAGCCTCCCGAGTGCTGGGATTACAGGTGTGCACCACCACGCCCAGATATCCTTAAATTTCTTAATTAGAAACTGGCATAATTGAAGATGACTTGAAAATTAAATTTTAAGGAGAAGTTGCTTAAAGTTAGAGGCAAATTTTTCAGAAGCCTAATACTGTATCTTGTGACTATTTAACAAATTAAAGCAGAATCACTTTCTCAGTTTTCTGAAGTATAGATCTTTAAAACAAAATTAAATATCACAACTCTTGTTGCAAGAGTAGATTAGGAATTACTTTAGCATATACACTTCAGAATACTTTCATATATTTGGTGTTATTTAGAAAGTAATTGGGGCTGGGGATTTAGCTCAGCGGTTCGGTGGCTTGCCTTGTAAGCGCAAGGACCCGAGTTCGATCCCCAGTACCCCCCCCCAAAAAAAAGTAATTGCCTCCTTCATTAAAATAGTACATCTTTCTTGCTGAGTACAGGGCGAGAAAGATTTGAAACGTATTATGAGAAAATTGAGAAATAATATGGTAATTTAGAGTAAATTTCTGGTTTGCTGTCATGATGAGAAAATAAATAGCAGTATTTCAAATCAGACTTTGCAATCTGTGAGTGTACTGGCATTTATTTTCGAGTTTCATATTTATTTTTAGGATCACTAGGGCTGGTGATGTAACTCAGTGTCAGAGTAGTTCCTTCGCATGTGTGAGGCCCTTGTTTCAGTGTCCAGTACCGAAAAAAAAAAATTTTAGGGCCACCTTCCATTTACACCAAGTCATACTGGTTCACAGTCATAGAAAGAGATCAAATTTTTCTTTATAAATAAATTCATTTAAATTTTTTAAAGTGAGTTAAAGGAAAAATAATAAGGAAAGAGCATGAGGTCCTATGCCGATGACTAAGATTTGTGCTTAGAGACAACTGAGACCTCATAGTAAGTTCAAAGCCAGCCTGGACTACACAGTGAGACCCTGTCTCAATAAAACAACAAAAAGATTCCCTGCCATGGTTTCAGGTAACAAGTTGAGCAAAATTAAATGGTGGATGAAGGGGAACAATGGTGGGTCGCTTCTGTTCACAAATGAGGGGCAGGATTTGGCAAGGTTCAGCAGCAGGAGCAGCAGCATTGTGCCGAGGGAGTCATTACTGCCGCAGAGATGAGCACGGACAAACTCAAATATTACCTGTACGGATCAGCAAGGGAAAGATCAGGGAATGATAAATTGTGTCCTTACCAGCAAAAAACACATGCCCATTGGCCTTGAAATCTAAAGTGTTGTATGTAAAAGGTAATGGAGTCAAAGAATTTATTGTGTGTGTGTGTGTGTGTGTGTGTGTGTGTGTGTGTGTATTGCTGGGGAAGGAACCAAGGCCTTATGTACACTAGGCATTCCCTCCACCACTGAGCCACATCCACAACTCCTCAGCCAGCGAGAAATTTGCAAACATTGCTTTTCAGTAAAAGCTGGTTGTTCTTGTCTCCTTTTCTAAAGAACCAATGAAGTCCTTAGAGATCCTGAGATTGTCCTCAAATTAGATCTGTGCTGAAAGATAGTGAACTTCCTGAGGTCCACATGTGAGGAATCCTCACTCTTAAGGTGCCTTCGACACAGTGCTATTCAGTTCATTGAGAACTGTGGGCTTTGCATTCAGGTGGCATGGTAATGGTAACAGATGTTTCAAATAATGTCACAGAGACATTTCAGAACCCTTAAGTATCACCAGAAGCATCAAGATAAAATTAGACTTCCTATATAGTGTTATCACTAAACACATTAAAGTGTTAATTCTTTCAAAATTCATAATCTGAATTCGATACATAATATGAAAATGTTTAATTAATAACCATACTGACCCATTGCTTGGCTATATCCAGTACTGGATTTTGATTAAAAGTTCATTTATTCCTTCACTTTTAAGAGGCTTCCTGGATTTATTTATCAAAGCCTTCGTAGATATATTTATCAAAGCTATATAAACTCTTATTTTAGCTTAACTACCTTCTGAGAGTAAAAAGTCCTTTATTTGTCTCTCACACACACAGACACTGAATTTCCCGTTGTGTACATAAAATCCAGCCTCCTCTTTTTGTTATGTTGGTGTAGTAAAATGATAGTAAATTCTGAATATCTGGCCTAACGAAATTCCTACTATTAGATCTAAATTGAATGATCATCCATCCTGTTAGAAATATAACATTCTGCATTCTTGAAATGCAGCTATATTTAGAGGTAGAAATAATAATGTTGAAAATCATGACCTTACTCATACTGCCTTAAATTTATGGAGTCTTTTGTGATTTATACCAAAAATATTTATTTTCACTGTTTGTTACCTAGATATAAACTACAGAAAAAAGAGTGATTTAACAAATGATGAATCATATTTATGTAGCAAACTGGGGAGCCCTTAAGTGATATGGGGATCTGATTTATAGATTTTTTTTCTTTTATCAGAGTGTCTTAAATCACAAGTCTTGCTATAAATAACATGTTCAGATTTTTTTTAAGGTGTAAATTTGGGTCAACTATTTTAACTCTGAAAATTTTAAAAACATTTCTTACAGGTGTTTAATCAGGAAGGAGAGTTTATGTTGAAATTTGGCTCCAATGGTGAAGGAAATGGGCAGTTTAATGCACCAACAGGTGTAGCAGTGGATTCCAATGGGAACATCATTGTGGCAGACTGGGGAAACAGCAGGATCCAGGTACATGAAAATGCTAATGAATGTGGCCAGGTGGTTAGTAGCATTTGTTAAAAGTGAAGAATTGTCTGTTTCCCAAACTGGGATGTTTTCCCTTCTCCACTGGGTAGATAGGTCACAAGACCATAGAAAATCTCACCAACAGGACCAAACTATGGAAGGTAGAGTAGACAAAAGGCAATGTATTGCCAGAATAAAATCCTCTCATTTAGGTTTTCTTTTAACATGGATCTTACAGACTCTCAGAGGGTTTGTGCATGGAATTGAAGAGATGTGTTCCCATCTCAGACATCTGAAAATTATCTCTTCCCTTAATTCTGAATATAGACAACAACCACAACCTGTTGTCACTAAGAAAAACCACAAAAATTTTTATAGTTTTTTTGCAGACATCCCAAATTATTATTATGCCCATACCACTACAAGATTACAGTAATTATTAAGCAAATTTCCTGTCTTGAATCAATAATCTAAACTCCCACCTTGACAAGCAGAAACATAGAAGTGAAGAACCCCAAAGCAAAGAAGGAAGACAATAGTGAAGGTGGGATCAGAATCTGTGAAATTCAAAACATAGAAACAATTTTTTAAAATCTGCAAGCAAGTTGGTTCTTTGAAAAGATCAATCAAAATCAACATACCTCCAGCAATACTGACGGGAGCGAGAGGGAACGAAATGCATTACTACAGACGTCAAAGGATGATGAGGGAATTCTGTGAACATTACACATATAAATTTGACAACCTAGACAAAATGGGCAATTTCTCAGAAAGTACAAACTTTATAACTATGAAATAAATAACTTGACTAGCCCTACAACTACTAAGGAAATTAAACTTGTAATTTTAAAACTCCCCAGAAAGAAATATGTAGATTCATTTGATTTTGCTGAAGGATTCTTCTGAATGTTTAAAGAATTAATGTCAATTTTATATAATTTCTTCCAGAAAATAAAGACAGGAGAACACTTCTCAACTCAGTTTCTGAGGACATGATATCAAAATCAGACTAAGACAGTAAAGAAAAACAAAATCATACAACACTATTCCTCTTGAGTACGCAGTGTACATGCCAAAATTCTTAGCAAAATAGTAACAGAATTTTTAAAAAATCTATAATGTTGGGTCAGTTATTTTAACTTCAAACAATTTTTAAGTATCTAATGCAGGTGTTTAATCAGAAAGGAGAGTTCATGTTAAAGTTTGGCTCAAATGGGAAATAAAATTCAACAATATATATAAAAGTTCCTCCATGGCCAAGTGAGTTTATTCCAGGAATTAGAGATTGGTTCATTACTTGAAGATCAATGTACCTTGCCATATGAAAAGTCTAAGGAAGAAAAACCATATGATTGTATCCATTTATATAGAAAAAGCATATGACCACTTGCAATACCCACTGATGATAACACTCTCGGCACACTAATGGAGAGTCTTCCTCAGCTTCATGAAGAACCCCTATGAAACCTGCATACTTGATGGTGAAAATCTGAATTCCTTCCTTGTAAGATTGGGAACAAGGCAATGATGTTTGCTCCCAACACTCTTAATGAATATACAACTGGAAGTCTTAACCAGCACCATAAACAAGGGAAAGAAAAAAATCTTACAAATTGGAAAGGAAGAAATTTTTAAATCTCCCTATTTTCAGATAATAAGATCACTTACACGGAAAACTCCCGCCTTGCACGGTGGTGCACACCTATAATCCCAGCTCCCAGCAGGCCGAGGCAGGAAGATTACCACAAGTTTGAAGCCAGCCTGGGCTACACAGTGAGACCCTGTCTCAAAAAGCAAACAAAAGGGCCGGGGATGTAGCTCAGTGGTTCTGCACTTGCCTCGCAAGCGCAAGGTCCTGAGTTGGATTCCCGGTACCAAAAACAAAACAAATCCTAGAATCAATAGGTGAGTTCAGCAATAATATACAATAAACAACAAAAATCACTTGTATTTTTATGTACAACCAATGAACCGCCAGGCATAGAGGTGCACGCCTGTAATCCCAGCATTCAGGAGGCACAGGCAGGAGGATCGTTGTGAGTTTGAGTGCCAGCCTGTGCTACATAGTGAGCTCAGGGCCAACCTGAACTACATAGTGAGAGCCTGTCTCAAAAAAAACAAAAACAAAAGGGGCCAGGGATTTAGCTCAGTGGGGCACAAAGCCTACCTGGCAAGCATCAGGTCCTGAGTTTGATCCCTGGTACCAACATCCCCCAACAAAGAAAAAAACTTTACCAGTGAACATGTGGAAACCAAAATGAAAATGTAATACCACTTACAACTGCTAAAAAAAAAAAATCAGCCTTCGCTATAAGGTGCATCCAATATTTATATGTTGAGAACTGTAAAATGCCGATGAAAGAAATCTAGGAAGACCTGAGTGATACACGCAGAGACAAACTGAATCTCTAGACTGGGAGTGCATCCACAGTTCAGGGCTCCCCTTCAACTCACCGGTGAAAGGCTGCCAGCCGACCCGCAGGCCTAACAGAATCCCAGCAGGATTGTTCTGTAGCTACAGACAGGATTATTTAAAACTTACAGCAAGGCAAAGGAACACGAACAGCCAAAACAATTCTGAAAAGAAGAATGAAGCGAGAGGAGTCCTTCCGCCTGATTCCCCACCTTACTTACAGAGCTGGCGTCATCGCCACTGTGGGTGTTGTGGACGGACAGACTCAACATTGGTGGAATGGAGTAGAGACCAGAAATAGCCCCCGCGTGTGAGCAGGTGCAGCCCACTGTTTTTTTTGTTTTGTTTTTTTTTTTTGACAAAAGTATAAAAGCACCTGAAAGCTTTTTCAACAAATGGGACTGTAACAGATAAAATAACCACTCAGGAAAACTAAAATCTCACCCAAAAAATGATCTCAAAATGGACCACAGATTTAAATATAAAACTAAAAGACTTTTAGGAGATAATGCTATAGAAGATAAACTTTTTTTTTTTTGGTACCGGGGATTGAACTCAGGTCCTTGTGCTTGCAAGGCAGGCCACCGAACCACTGAGCTGAATCCCTGGCCCTAGAAGATAAACTTTTAAGAGATTTTAAGAGGAAAAACATTTGGGACCTAGTGCCTGGTGAAGAGTTTTTTTGGCATGATACCAAAACTATTTCTAAAAGTGAAATTAAGAAATTGGACTTCATTGAAATTTGCTCTGAGAAAGACTCCAATAAGAAGATAAATTTATAGGCAACAGACTGAGAGAAAATATTTACAAACTACATTTGTGACAGAGGACTTATATCTACACTGTATTATATAAAGACTTAGAACTCAGCAGTATAATTACCACACAATCCAATTAGAAAATGAACAAGAGGGCGAGGGGTGTAGTTCAGTGGCCACACCTGCCTGGCAAGTGCAGGGTCCTGATTTCAATCCCTGGTACCCTTCCCACCCACCAAAAAAAAAAAAAAGAACAAGAAATACGAAGAGGAAAAATATATCCATTAAAAAGCGCTCACTGGCCAGGGATTTAGCTCAGTGGTTCCGCCTCTTGCCTTGCAAGCTCAAGGACCTGAGTTCAATCCCTGATACCAAAAATAAATAAATAAATAAAAAGCGCTCACTATCATTACACATTAGGGAAGCACAGATGAAAGACCATGATGAGATCCTACTATTTGTTTAAGTAGCTAAAATTAAAAATATCGATAATACCAAATACTTGTGAGCACTTAGAGAAACTAAATCTTATATACTGCCAGTAGGAATTAAATAGTGAGTCAGCTTTGAAAATACTATAGTTTGGCGGTTTCTTAAAAAATTAAACATTGCAACCAAACAACCCAGCAATTACAGTCCTAGGCATTTATCTCAGAGAAATGAAAACTTGTGCCCACTTGGAAGCGGTACATGATCATGCAAGGAAGGTATATTTGTCATAGCCAAAACCTGAAAACAGCCAAGCTTTATACCAATTGGTTTATGGCTACATAAAGTGTAGTGTTTCCATGCTATGAACTGCCACTCAGCATTTAAAAGAAATACGCTAATAATGCACTTAATTTGAATGCATCTCAGGGCACTGTGCTGAGTGGATGCAGCTGCTTTGGAAAGGTGACTTACTGTGTGATTCCATTCATGTAGCACTGTCAAAATAACAAAGTTACAGAAAAGAAAAACAGGCTGTATTGGGGAGCAAAAGTCAGGGATGGAGGGAGAGTGGTAGGGTGGGTGTGACTGAAGAGGGAGGTCTTTGTGACGATGGAATTGTGTATGTTGGTTGCGAGGTGGGGAGCGTTACACGGAAGTACCCCTGTGATCACGTGACCACTGCCCATACACATCTCAGCAGTCACTGTGTTGGATTTTGTACAGAGGTGTAGTTGTAGATGTAACCAGCAGGGAAGACCAGGCAACTTGCTGTGAACCTGTAATTACCTCAAAATAGAAAGTTGATTAAAAAAACCAATCATGACGGTGAGTTTGTTTTCATTATCGAGGGGATAATGGTGTCATGGATGGCATTTGGCGTTTTGGTTGAATGTTAAGAACAATAAAATCGGTTGTATCCCGGGGTGGGTGGCAGCATTACAGGATAGTTCTGGAAGGGGTCTGCAGCCCTTGCCAGCCTGCCAAAGGGAGCCCTGCTTCATACAAGGTTGACTTTTCCACAGCCACGTGCAGTGGCACACACCTTATCTGAGACACTGACAGGAGGATCGCACGTTTGGGACCCGCCTGGGCAACTTAGTGACTTAGTGAGACCCTATCTCAAGATAAAGAATGGAAAGGGCCGGGGACGTGACTCAGGGTGAAGGCCCTGTTTTCAGCCCCCAGCACTCCCTGTTCCCAAAGGTTTAGATTTGAAGAGCAGATCCTTTAAATCCCCCAATGGAAGGAAGACTTCGCGCCTGTCTCTGTGATCACACCTGCATGCAGCCACGCACCTAGCAGTGTGCTCTCCCTCTGTGTACGGGGAGCCCTAGCAGGAAGAGGCCCTCGTGATGATGGAGTAGTGTGTTGATTGCAGGGGCACGGGCTTTCCACGTCTCTGTGAGAGTGGCAACACTCAGCATTTCAAATCACAGAGGTGGCTGCTTCTTAGTGGGAGAACTGAGGCCACAGATAAAACAGAGGGCTCTGATTTCACCACCATATGTACCTTGTTTACCAATCCCCCAGACATGTTCACTGAAAGAGAATTCTGTGTCTCTGGGGAACCGTATCAAGGGTCTTATGGAGGAAGCTGGAACTGAGGCAGGGAGCTAAGCACACAAAGGAGATCCATGGGCTGCTAAGCTGTTCATGTTCAGGTCCTGTGATCTCAGGACCTGATACTGCCTTTTAAAACTCCATGCAGGCCAACAAAATGGTCAGATGAAAACAGCTGAGCTTCATGAAGGGGGAGAAGTGTACAGTCCCGGACATTTCCCTCGCATTTCGTCACAGCACAAGCTAATAGACCAAAAGGAGACCGTTTCATCTCCAGACGTACATGTCGAACCGTGGACTTCTTACAGCTTTGTTTCTGAAAAGGGAAAAAGAAATCTCAATTTTGTTGTTGCGTATTATGACTCAGGGTCATTCTCCTGTGGTGCAGCTGCTGCTTTCCTGCCCATAAAATTGGGCATTGAAAAGGAAGGAGAGGCTGGGAGGAAAAGGAGGCTCAGCATGAGAAATAAGGGTCATTCGTGTTTCGAGCACTGTCTGTGCCATTCCCACCCTACCCCTGTGTGACCACTGTGGGGACAGAGCGCGGGCTGGCCACCAGGCACGTCCTGTGTCAGCAGCTCTGAGCAAAGGAGCTAGAGTGAGTGAGTGAGAAGGGCCGCGTGTGTGACCTCGGACTGAGCAACCCTAGGGCCTATTATGTGCTTTGAGATGAAAAACATTGGCACCGCTGGTTTTCTAACACGCATTTCAGCATATTACAAAACTACTTCTGTTATATTCTGACTTCATGCTTTTACAGGTTTTTGACGGGAGCGGATCATTTTTGTCCTACATTAACACATCTGCTGACCCGCTTTATGGCCCCCAGGGTCTGGCCCTGACTTCAGATGGTCACGTCGTGGTTGCAGACTCTGGAAATCACTGTTTCAAAGTCTACCGGTACTTGCAGTAACAGCCTGCGGCTGGACAGCCCTTCTGAAGGCCTTGCACTATAAACTGGAGTGGATTTCTTGACATGGGACCAGATTATGACCAGACTTAACATGCTAGAAGGAATCTTCAGTGAACTTTCCGAGGTTATTTCTGAATGTAACCAATTATTTAAAAACTGCTTATCCAGTTTCCAGGATTCACCTTAAGGGTTAAAAAAAGTCTCTTCTGAATCTTTAAAAACTGCAAAGTTTTACACCTGTGAACTATGGCTTATAGGACAGGAATTTATGTAGTTCAACTAATTTTGCAATCAAACAGTTAAAAAAATATTCTAGCGTATGTAAAGATACTTGTTACTTGTTAATCCTGTGAATGGGTGCCTTTATGCAAAGCTCCCAAAAACAAAATCTGTTGTCCTTATAAACTTTTTTTTAACCTAGGTCACAAGACCCAGGGAACCTTCTAACCTCACTTTTACAGTAGGTATTACTCTTGTGACATTGTTTGGGTTATCAGCGACTGCATATGAATTACTTTAAGGCTATTGCAAATCCTCCCAGCTCTGATCAGCCGGCCTTTTGAGTTGAACGCTTAAGAATCAGTGCAAATTTCCTAACCTTTCAGGGTTAGGTCAAAGATCATCTTTGTTCTTTTTCACCTCTTTCCTGCTCATCTTGTTATCAAAAAACAAAGTCCATTTTCAAGGAAACCTGAAATTCCTGATGCTTTGAAAATTATATTACAAAAGCAACGCTACTTTCTGTTCAATGAATAGCTCCAGATTAACATACTGGAATGATATCGACAAAAAGTCACGTTTGATATGCCATGTTTTCACGTGTCTTTCCTCTTCCACTTTGTGAAAGCAAAAGCTTTACCTCCTGCAAAATGTTAGCACATGTAGTAGGACACCAGTATCCTAGGACAGAGAGCCATAAAGAGCCCTTTGGAGGACTCGGTGGTGTCAACCAAAGGCATGTGATTGATCAATGATTTTTCCCCTTAGAGAGCAAGTGTTACCAAAGTTCTGTTATCTTGAGAGCATTACAGGTAAGGGCATGTTATGGTTATTTATCATTGTTTAATGAATAGTAGAGGCATTAAGGGACTATGTATACATGATTAGGGTAAGATAGAATGTTTAATATATACATATTTATAGCTGAATCTTTGGTGTATTGACATAGGCAGCACTCTGAAAGACAGAAGCATTATCTAGCCATTTTTCAGCACATTCCTTTACCAGTGAAGCTTAAAGCTGTCCTCATGGTGGAAGCCCTAAGGCAGGTTTAATTTTTTTTTTTGCCCCTTTTCCAGGAACAATGATGGTGGCTGATGTTTAGTCAGAAAATGGCTTTCTGTCCTCTTGAAGGAAGAAGACAAAGGAGATAAAAAGTTGAATTACATTTAATTCAAACTAAGTATAAAAGCATTTTGAGAACTGTTAAGAACAATTTAGTCAATTGTTCACCTGTCATTGATACTGTACAATAAGATTCCGTCTGTTTCCACTGTTTAATTTTCCACTCAGTTCTACCAGATACAATGTTGTGTTTGACATTTTCGATAATGACTTGGGATCTTTTTCATTGAGAGCACCTTAGAACTGTACTGTAGGAAGCATTTTCTGAACTTATTATTATATGAATGAGATGTTTATTGCTTATTGATTTAAAACGCAGTCATCCTCTACATAGAACTTTTTTAAATTTAGAAGGAAAATCTAGCTACTTCCAGTTCTCTATTAAATTTATTACACCCAAATCAACATCTGAAAAAATTTTTTCAGGAAGATTAACATTTATGTTCATATTTTAAAATTTTATGTATATTTTTAAATATTCAAGCCTATCTGTGATAAAGTCATAAAATTTACTAATTCTGATTTTTCGAATGTTAAACTAAGATACTGTATCCTAAGGTCAGTGAAATGTCTTTGAATTTATTTTTTTTTCCCTCAGTGCCAGTAATTGAACCCAGGGCCTCTCACATGCTAAGCATGAGCTCAACGCTGAGCTGTACCCCCAGATCACGTCTGTGAAGTTAAAAATCTATCCACGTTTCCAAGCACTCAGAACAGAGCAATGAATAGATAGACAAAAATTCTTGTCCCCTTGGACTTCACACTCTGGGGAAGAAACTTCATTTTTCAATTTACAAATATTCCACCTGAAAGATGGGCTAGATTCTTGGACCACTTAAAAGAAAATGTTTTTAAATTGGTTAAATTAATTTTAGTTTATTTTCATGAGTAAAAATGCTAGATTGTCATAGACATTTTTTTTCCTTTGGTGCTGGAGATTGAACCTAGGTCTTCATACATGCCAGGCAAGCACTCTACCCACTGAGCTATACTTTTAGCCCTTGATCTTAAAACTGATTTATCTAAAGAGGTTTTTTTTTTCAACATCAAAATGTTTATGAGCTTAGAAATAACTTATAAGCTAGTCAGCCATTATATCATATCAGACTAGCTATCCCAGTGATAGGCTGAACACAAAAGCTTTTTTTTTTTTTTTTTTTTTTTTTTTTTTTT